CTCTCCGTGCAACTCGTAGGCAGTATGCTGCCACAATTCGCATAACAGTCCTATGTAGATAGGAAATCCACAGGACATGGGACTGTTATGCGAATAGTGGCAGTATAGTCGCTATATTCATAGTCTGGCGGATAGAATCTCGGGAACCAATTGAGCTGTCAAATAGTGGAACCAATCGAGCAAATCATGACCAAAAACAGAAAAGAGCACATCAGCTATTGTGAACAAAACTTCGGAAACCCTTTTCTCGTGACTCAAGGCACCATCGCAAACTAACACCATCTTTGGGTTGAGGAAAGTTTCCCCTATCCGACGATGCTGGTAATTTGCGGTTGATTGGCGAGGAAAGAATAATCAACGTTTTGTTTATAAAAGTTGATAGTACCTTTTCAATTGTTGGTCTGCAATATATTGAATTGGTTCCGCTTTTTGTTAGATCGAAATTCTACAACACTGTACCAAAACATGAATGTTATGATTGTTTATCATGAACTAGTCTTAACTGTACTTTATGTTAAGTTATTATGACAAATTTTACGGTCGCGTGTGTCCGAGGTGGCCGTTTCGGAATAGCAGTATTAAAACGCGACACGTAAAGTTAATCAAATTAAAACTGTATTTTACGATAAAATAAGACGGTTACAAATTACGCGTGTTCGCGGTTCTTAGTGTTCTTCTATTCTTCTCTTACTCTCTGTTTTTTTCAATGACGTTTCTTGTTGGTGCTGTCATGGCATCGACGTTGATGGCAGCTTGACTGTCATCTGTGAGCCCAGCCGAAAAGTGATAAAAAAAATAGAGTTGGTCCAAAGTCCCAACATCTCCTCTCTAATACAGGAGGTACGGCTGGAATCGCTGAGGCGCTCTTCCAACGCGCGAAGAGTGGCGAGGTGCCTGGACTACTGGTTCTAGCTCGATGGCAGACTAGAAGTCCGAAGTGACTGAGCCTGCTGTAGACGCCGAGACTTGTGGGAAGCTCAACAAGGACGCTGATAAGGACGACGGAAGCACCGGTGACAATACCGGGACGTGCATCAAGCTGTTGGGTGTCGAGTACGGCAAGGGTGGTGGATTGCCTAGAGGTCCGATCGGCAATGGTCCTGGTGACAAAATCTGCAAGACTTGGGCAGATCCCACGCATCAAGCAGGATGTTGATGGGAAGCTTCTTGGTATCTTGTGTGACAGCTTTGGCATGTCGATCAGCTGCAGCACGGTCCTTGAGCTGGTTGATATGTGACCGCACGAGCTTCCGATTGTTGACCCAAACATTGTACATAGCTGTACCGATTTTCTCCAATACAACTCCAGGTGCCCAGTGCCAGTTGTTATTAACGTAGACTTTCGCAAAGACCAGGTCGTCACGTTGGTAACTTCGTTCTGTTCTTGCCTCCGTCGGTTGGTTGTGAAACGTTGAGTGGTCAGGCGGCGGACGAAGCAACTCCAAACCCGTTCTGATTGGACGACCGAACATGATTTCCGCTGGCGATTTGCCATCCGGTGCTGAATGGTTAGGAGTGCTTCTGTGAAAGTGTTGAGTGCTGCGTGTATTGTTCCTCTTCCCTCCTGAATTTTCTTGACAGACCGTTTAAAAGTATCGACAACCTTTCATCTTGCCCGTTGGATTGCGGATGAAACGGTGCAATAGTAAGGTGGTCGATGCCGTTCTCCACAGTGAACCCTTGGAATTCTGCACTGGTGAACTGTGGCCCATTGTCGCTGACCAACGTAGCTGGCATACCAAATCGTGCGAAATACGTCCTTCAGGATGCCAATTGTTGCTGCACTAGTCGTACTACGAGTTTGGATGATTTCTGGCCATTTCGAGTACGAGTCCACGACGACGAGGTAGTATTCTCCGTTAATGGGTCCAGCATAATCTATGTGGACGCGCTCCCATGGCTTGCTGGATCTTGGCCACGGTACCGGGGCACACTTTGGTGGAGACTTCGCAGCGGTGACGCAATGTCGGCATGACTTGACGTAGTCGGCATTTTCGCTGTCCAAGAATGGCCAGTAGACGTACGATCTGGCAATGGCTTTCATTCGTTGAATACCCGGATGACCTCGGTGAAGCTGGTCGAGACAGCGCTTGCGGTACGACGAAGGAATGACCAGACGTTCGCCAAAGAGGATACAGCCTTGGACAGTGGTGAGTGACTCCTGACGGTCGCAAAAACCGCTTCAACTCTGGGTCGAAAATCTGCTTAGATGCTGGCCAGCCATCGTGCAGGAAGAAGCAAGAATCTCCTTGAACCTCATGAACGCCTGTTGGCATTGTGTTGTCCAACGGAATTCGGTGCCAGCCTTGAGTAGCTCGTCCAACGGGAAACGAAGAGTTCTCATTCTATGGACGAATTTACCGTAATAATTAACCGCCCCGAGGAAAGAGCGTACGCCGGAGACATCAGTGGGAGGAGCCATGTCGGTGATAGCTTGAATCTTCGCTGGATCTGGTCGTAGCCCGTTGCGGTCGAGCAGGTAGCCCAAATATTTGATTTGTGGCTGAGCGAACGTACACTTCTCTGGCCGGATGGTGAAACCAAATTCTTGAATCCGCTCCTACACTGCACGAAGATTGGTCCAATGCTCCTCAGTGTCTTTTCCGCCAACAACCACGTCATCAAGGTAACCAGAAGTGCACGGGAGACCAGCTAACATGGTGTCTATCAGCTGCTGGAATGCTCCTGGTGCTGTCTTGACTCCTGGTGGTAGACGGTTATAGCGGTACAATCCTCGGTGGGTGTTGATGGCAAGAAGATCCCGACTACATTCGTCGACTTCCACCTGGAGGAAGGCGTCAGAAAGGTCTACCTGGCTGAACACGGTGCAGTTGGCTAACTTGGCGAAAATGTCTACCGGTAACGGGAGAGGGTACCCATGCGGCTGCAGGGCATCATTGAGGCCGGTAGAATAATCCCCACAAATCCGTATGGAGCCGTTGGCCTTGCGGACGACTACAATCGGGGCCGCCCAGTTGGAAAAATCAACCGGTGAAATGATCTTGGCGCGCTCCAATCTGTCCAACTCGTCATCCACCGCGCTGTATATGGCGTAAGCCACAGGACGTTTAGGGCGAAACGCCGGTACTGCATCTTGCTTGAGCTCTAGCTTGAGTTTTGTTTTTGTACACAATCCAAGTTCACTTCGGAAGACTTTCGAAAATGCCGCCTTGAGGGTGTCCACAGTGGTAGAAGAACTGGTGACACGGTTGCAGTAGGAATTTATAGGCACAGACCACAATCCGAAAGCATCGAGCATGTCGATCCCTAGCAGCTGAAGGGACTTCTCCACCACGTAGAATTGTGCTTGGCGTTGCTCACCGTTGATTGATACGGTGCAGACGAACTTGAAAAGTAGCTTTAGCGGATCTCCTGACGCTGTTGCGGCTCGTTCCGTAGATGGCATTATCGGTGGCTTGCCAACTTTCTCCCAGATCCGCTTCGACACAACACTGATGTCAGATCCAGTGTCTAACTGAAGATGTACATCCACTCCGTTGACTTGAGCTTGAACGAAACGACGCTTTTTGTTAACGGTATTTAACAGAAGACTTACTGTTTTCGTTGAGACAGCTTTCGGTCGGCCTTTCGACTTGAAAGCCGATGATTTGGGGTTTTTCCGAACGCTCGAGCAATACCCCTCACGATGGCCGACGAGACCGCAATCGTTGCACTTGTGTTGCTTATACGTGCAGTCCCGGTTAAAGTGCATTGCTCCACAGTTCCAGCAGGGTGATGCTGGTACGTTCCTGGCTTGTTTCGTTCCGGTTCCAGCGGATCCGATGCTGGGCTTCGGTGGATACTTGTTGAATTGCTTACGTTTGACGAACTGCACTGCTGCTGACGTTGGCGATTCGATCATTGCCGTATCATGCTTCAGACACAACAATCGTTGACAGTCCGCTGACAGCTGTTCGAGTGTGACGTCCGTCCGCTCCTCTATCTTCGAAAGCAATCTTGTTCGTATTTCGCTATCTCCCTCCGATTTCAGACCGCAAACAAACATCAAACATTTGAATTGCTCTTCGGTCATCTTGCTCAATTCGAACTCAACACACCTAAAGCACAATCGGATAGTGGAGAATTTCCCCTACCTGTTCATTATGCTGGTTTGCCTTTGCGGACTTCAGTTCGCGAGAAAATGCCCTTACAAGGTTTGTTTACAAAATGGAGTTAAGGCCATTTCAATTGTTGGTCTTGAATTGATGTTGCTCGCCTTGCCCCATTCAAATTCAGTTTTTTAATTCTTTACTAGGAAATTATTACTTTGTAGGTGAGAAGTCTCTTTTTATAGGAAAAATCTGATACTGAGCAAATTCACGCCAACTGACGAATCGATTTTACCGTACCCTCTCAGAATTCTGTGATACTTGATACCATGAAGTCTTCGCATAATTCTATACAGAGCAGGAAAAAGGGCCTATCTGCTTTAATCGATTCTCTTCATCGACTTTCTCTTTTGATAACCACGGCTATGCAAACAGTTTTCGTTCCACATAACATGATAAAGGAGGTTTTCATCTATCGTCCAAATCGTTAAATAGAAGAAATGGCTCTAATGTTGGCCTATGGATCATTGGGACGGTACTAATGGATATTTTTGGTCGCTATTGAAAATTTAGTTGATTGCAGAATAATTATTTATGTATGGGCCCAAATTAGAGGTATTTAGGCCGACATTCCATCCATTTCCCCTACAACACGGAATGTTGTTGCAGCTGAGTCATTAACGAAAGAGAAAGTCGATGAAGAGAATCGATCAAAGCAAATAGGTCCTATTGTTCGCTAGAGTCAATGCATCAAGTTTCGATATTTTTCATTAAATCATAGCACGAAAACGGTTCATCTAATCGAAATGACATCTGAGACAGAGTAGTACGAAACTGCATTCAAGCTTTTCAAAAATGTTAACTTCCTGACTTGATTGAGGTTGAGCCTACACCCTTTTCAACTCACCAAAAGCTGTACTAACCGATGCCTTTACTTTCGCCCTATTGCAGATCAACCCCGCACCAAGGCACCATAGTCAGCCATGGGTCAAACGCTCTCGGAGCCGGAAACCTCGAAGGAGTCGGCCTTCTGTCAGAACGACTACTACAAGGTGGGATCAAGCTGTATGCAAGGTTGGCGCATCCACATGGAGGACTCGCACACGCACATTCTCTCGCTACCGGATGATCCGGGAACGGCTTTCTTTGCCGTGTACGACGGCCACGGTGGTGCCAACGTTGCCCAGTATGCCGGCAAGCACTTGCACAAGTTTGTGACGAAACGGCCGGAGTACGGGGACGACTTGAAGCGGGCGCTGCAACGTGGCTTTTTGGACATTGACGAGGCTATGCTGAACGACGAATCGCTGAAGGAACAGATGGCCGGATCGACGGCGGTTGCCGTTATGGTAAAGAACGATAGATTGTACTGTGCGAATGCTGGGGATTCGAGGGCGATCGCGTGCATAAACGGGAAACTGGATGTGCTTTCGTTCGACCACAAACCGAATAATGCCAGCGAGTTGGAGAGGATAAAGCGCGCCGGGGGTTACGTTGAGTATAATAGAGTGAATGGGTATTTGGCCCTGTCGAGGGCATTGGGAGATTTTAGTTTGAAGCGAAACGGCGACAAATTGCCGGAGGAACAGGTTGTGACGGCATATCCGGACGTGGAAGAACGAGCGGTTAGCGAAGGCTTTGAGTTTATGGTTATTGCTTGTGACGGAATTTGGGACGTGCTTCCGAGCCAATCGGTTATGGAGTTTGTTCTGACGGAAATTGCCCAGGGTATCTATCCGCAGAATATTTGCGAAAATCTGATGACGCGATGTCTCGCTCCGGACTGTCAGATGGGTGGCATCGGTGGAGATAATATGACGGTGATCATCGTTTGCTTCCTGCACGGGCGACCTTACGAAGATTTGGTGACCCGTTGCAAGGAGCACGTTGCCGAGATGAACAAGAAGGCGTCGGAGATGTTCATTGATCACGAGTCCAGCTTTGTGCCGGAGCAATCGAGTTCGAAGGCATCGTTGGAGGAGAACGGTGGCAGTGACTTGACTCCGCTTAGCTCTCCGGAGCAATCTCCGAAAGCATCGCCAAGTGAAAAGACAAAACAATCCGCAGACGGGCAATCTTCGCCGGATGAGGACGACACAAGCGAGGAACTGGATCTGAAGTAGACACCAAGCGCTGCGTTGACTATGGGCTATAGTGTTTTGTTCCCCGTTCCTTTTGTCCTGTTTTATCCTCCGGGTCCTGTCGTGGTTCCTTTCAATTGTAAAATTTCTTAGATTGTAATCCTGACCGGTTTTATTGCTATGAAATGCAAGAGGGCACTATGTTTTAAATTTACCTTTGTACGTCTTTCTCAAATTCTCAAACTGATTCCAGTAGATAGACCTGCCTTCGACATAATTTCGTTTTCCTTGAGATAATAAGCCTCGTACAAAGTTTTAAGTTTGTAGGTTAATCATTAGAAGTTTTTTTTTCAATATTTCGTAGATCTCCATGTAGATTATTACTGGAAAACCAAGGGCGAAAATAATTTTTGGGTGGCTCCTTTCAGGTCTATCTGAACGATACTAAATTCGATTGCTTATCAGAAAAGAAGCTGGCGCCTAGCAGCAAAACAAAGAAGATACCCATTAAATGTAGTTTAAAATTGGATCGTGTTTACAAACGATTAGAACCCAACAATTCAGTTAATGATGATAGACTATAATCTTCCTTTTTACGAAATGGTATCGACCCAGTGTAGTAGAAGAACCGTGTGTGTGCGTGTGAAAATTCATGATAGGCAGGAGTGATGAAAGCGTTACGTTGTTTTACTCAAACCTTAGATATTTGACATTCTCGTGTGTACCAAGCCGGGATAATACAAAAAATGCGAGCCAAAAATAAACCGAAGAGATCAAAACACAAAGGACAAGATGCAATTACGATAAATACGCTTCTCTACAGTAGTGAAAAGAACACAAACCTTTAGTAGAAATACTTTTTTTATCATCCTATACATAGGTACCTATTATATCTTACGCACTTCCTGTCCAGAAAACTAAGGTTACCGGTCCTCCGGACCGGTGACATGTAAAACTATCTAGGAATAGGACCGTTTTTCTAGAGGATGTTCTTTTGTTGTGTAGCACCTTCCGTTCTTTATACCTTAGTGGATAAGCTTTTGACATGTCGAACAGTTTAGGAGTTGAGCAGAGTGTTCGAACGAAAGAAAGCGTGGATGGATGGGTGCAGCAGGATGCAGCATGTGACTAACTGGCTTCTCGCCATGTGCATGCGTGTTCTGCTATCGTTCTACTTTTTGTGCTAGTAGATGTCAGTGTGTTCGTGATGGAAGTTGATGTGAAATTAAGAGAAAACAAAAACGGAAAACCTAAATATAACAATACCTAATAACAATAAACAATGTTAGCGATTAGAAGTCCGAAGAGACTGTTTAGTAGTCTGTACATTGACCGTTTATAATCCGCAACTGCGCCCCCTGTATGACATGTGTGCCGGATCCCTGTGCTGCGCTCGGAGATTAGAATATTTGTGTACATACTTAGGCCGCAGGGGTGTCTCTTCACAGGAAGAGGTTTATTTCTTTATCGAGCACGTCAAGCGCATCTACAGTGTACTGTCTGAGCAACAAAACAGCATATTTTAAAATAAATATTTTCAAAAAAAAAACTGTTTTTGTATGGAATTTTCAGGATCGATGGGGTAGCGGGTTGTAAGTACTGTGCTTTGCTATGGTGTATAGACTTACTTTGACAATATTATTTATGTTCTGAAATTTAATCAAGGTTAGCAAATACCTGGAAAAGTCCTTGAATTACCAGGGAATTTTGGGAAAAAATCTGGAAATGTTTGAAAATTAGATTCAATCATGCTGTTGAATCTGTTTCTATCTTTTGTTCAGATACGTTATAGTTCTTTCAAATGGTGGTAGCCGCAGGGCTAGTAGCAGGTCACTTTTTTTGTGGCTAGGTCACTATTTTCATGTCGTTCACTAAAAAGTGATTTTTTACACCAAAAAGTCACTATTTTCAAAAAAAAAAAAATAATCACTAAAGAAACTTTTTCACATCTAATATACTGCCAATAATCCCATATCAGTCCCATATGGTAAAAGTAGGCATTGAGAAAATGGCAGTTGAAGCCGCTATGGTTTTACCACGCAATATGAAAGTGAGCAGGTTCTGGGTGCCAGGGGGATAAAATATTGTTGATCGATGCGAGTGATTTCCAACTGAATCGTTTATTTAAATATAAGCTTTCGATTAAAAACTCAATAAAAACCTATTACAAAGAAATGGAAGCACCTGGCGATGCTCAAAAACGAAGACTTTCTCAATTACGCGGATCCGCTGCAGGTTGACTACGATATTGAGACTCTTGATGAATTGGAAAATCCAGCTTATGAGTTGGTCGAACTGAACATTGAGCCTGAGATCAAACCATCAACTTCCAAATCCATTGCATCGTCGAAAAAGGTGAGCGAGTGTTTTTTTTAATGCATAACATTCATTATTTATGTGATCACAACATTTTTAGGCTAGAGGTAATCAAAGCTTCTACGCCGAAAACAAGGATATGCCAGCAGGATTGAGCGGAAAGAAATTCAGATTCCGAGCAGCGGTTTGCTTGAAGAAGTTTAAAAATCAAAAGTCGTACGAAAACTGCGGGACGATCAACGTTGATGGTGATACAGTCGAAGAAGTCCTAATGAAGATTTGGGAGTTCGGTTCCAAATTCACTTATCGTGCCGTTGCTTTCTCAGAACCATCAGATTCACGAGTTGACGCTACGTGGTCCGAATGTTTACCAAGTTACGACGAACGCGATACATTTATTATGTTTCAAGACAAATCCAGTAAGAAAAACATTGTTCCCTCGAAAGTGGACAGCAATACCTTGGTCAGTTGGCTGGCAAGGGAAATGTTTGTAATCGTCTATAAGTACTCGGATTCGGTTACAAGTCTCGAGAGATGGCGTCAAGTTGAGAGCCAGCTTATTCGTCCTTTGGAGACGGACCGTTCTGGTGCGGAATCTGTTGCTTCCATAAATCAGCTGAAAGAGGAGCTCAAATACACACATGTAAAGTATCTTTCAGGTGACGACGTCAACTGGGGGTGCTTAGCAAGCTGGATATCGAGTAAACCATATGACCAACGGGATAATCTGAAACATCAAACGCCTCCAGAGCACCTCATCAACCTTTTAAGTAGTGTTCCTGTGCATAGTGACACAATATTGGAGAAAGCAAGGCTCGATTTGCAGGTAGCTAACACGGTTAACTGTTCGTATCGGAACATACTTCAGGAGCTGAAGAATGACTATCAACAAGTAAAGAATATACCGAGGAATATACTTAATGTTATGGGAGAAAGGATTTTGATGATGGAGACCAAACAGAAGGAATACGACGACATGCTAACAGCCATGAATAGTTCAGTCAGTGTGAGAGAAAATAAGTTCTCAGTTGAACTTGCCCATAGTGTCACCAATTGCTTTGATGTGGACCACGCTTTGGATTAAATTTGCGTTTATTAAATGTTTTTTTACAGGTGATTTTAATGAATTTCCAATCCAAACCGAACACCGTTTTATTTTTTTTTTGTAAAATGAAATGATACATTGTTTGAGATGTATTTTATGCATACAGTAAAGAATAATTCAATGGTTTTAAAATAGTTCTCTTTCAATCATATGGGGCTTGTATATAGGTCATGTTTCGAATTCGAATTCTTTCATATTTAGACCCAATCCCCGACTGGGATCAAATTGTCCCCCAGGTAGGTAGCCACATTTTGCGAAGACTCTTGTACAATCATAGTTCTTGAAATGGCACAGGGCTCCAGCGATGACTGCGGTAAGATCTTTCCGACTGTTTTCTACGTAGACCCGTTTCAAGTATTTTTTTAGATAACCAAAAAAAAATTCTATAGGATTGTAAAATGGAGCATAAGCAGGGAGAAAAACAACTGCTATCCCCAACGAACGTAGATATTCGACTATCGATTTATGGTAATGGATTCTTGCTCCATCCAAAATCCAAACCGAGTATTCTCCAGGGTTTCGCTGTACTAGACCAGCAGTAGCAAAAGAACGAACGCAATTGAAGAATTTTTGTCTGGTAAAGGTTCCTTCAGTGGAAAAGGTTTCGAGTACTCCATTGTATCCTACAAAACTAAGCATGGAACAGCGAGGCCCTCGAACAAACTCTCCTCTATATACTATTTTTTCTCCAACTGGCGCATACCCTTTATTTCTAAGCATACCTCGATTGTCGAACGATACTTCGTCGAGAAAAACCAGGGAATGAATATCCCAGGTCACAATAGCCATATCTGAAACGAACCTGTAGATGTCCAGCATTCTAATTTGAATTGCTCGGCGCTCTAATACCTTCCGGGAAAGTCCTGCAGCGTGAAGGATTCGGCTTACAGATGACGTGCTAATTGTTTTGTGGAATGTTTTTTCAAATTGAGATTTGGTCTCGTCAAGGTAAAGGATCAGTTGCTATCCATCTCCTTAACCGATCAGACGTATAATACCATTCTCGAACTTCTTTTGTGTGACGCGCGTGAGTTTTGTTGTCCATAGCCATGCGGGCTTTGCGAGAAAACTGTGTCGTTTTGGATACATCCATTCTGCCTAAGCGGCCGTGTATTTCGGAAATCAAACGATTTTTAGAAAGTGAACTGCAACTTATATATGTCCGATATGTCACAAGTGAAATGCATCCAGCCACACAATGTGAAAAACGTTGTATACCTGAGTATGCAAAGTAACGAAGTAGCAAGAAGAATCGCTTCAGCTCATCACCTGAAGCATTTTATAGAGTATGAGGGAAAAAAGATCTCTATTCCAATTTATGTCGAAAGCAGCGCTGTCGACGTACGTTTGCATGATCTCCCAGATGACATGGAGAATGTGGCTATCATCGACCATATGCGCCAGTATGGAGAGGTGATAGCAATTCGCGGTGAGGTTTGGAAGAGTTATTTTCCAGGCTTCAGCAATGGAGTGCGTGTTTTAAAAATGAGCCTTATTCTTCCCATCCCGTCATTCATCACCGTGGATGGTGAAATTACACTGGTATCATACCCAAACCAAGTGAAAACATGTCGCAATTGTGAGCGCAAATCTCACCCAAAGCAACGCTGCTCCGATGTGGCTGCAGCAGCAGCAGCAACAGCAGCAGCAAACGAAGACAATACTCTCAGTAGCAGCACCAACAACAACTACGTTAACAGCAAGAACAAGAACAACAACAACGCACACAAACTTCCATCAAACGCAGCCAACAGTAAGCAGTGGCCCTCGCTCCCAAAATCGATACCAAATGCAGACCAACAGCAAAACAACAAAACCGAAACGAAACGCCAGCGATCAGTCGACTCGGACACCACAAACAATGCAACCAAAAAATTGAACGCAAATGACTCAAGCGAAAGTGATAGCAGCCTGATATCTGTGAGTGGTGATATTTGTCCATATACGCAGCGCCCGTATACGATCCCAGATCTTTCGCATATTGACGATCCTGATGAACGGTGTGCATTGATCGAGGAAAGCAAGAAGAGGATTGATGCCATCTATTTAGAGCAAATTGAAAATAAGAAAAAGAAAAATAATGTATTTTAACTAGGATTTATTGTATTTCGATAGACCTCGGCTCCGTAAAGTTTAACGACATTTGAGCCTAACAAATAAACGAATAGTTATATAAAGGTAAAGAATAGGACAGTTTTTATAAAGGTCCACTATCCACCTTCTCTGGTCCGAGTTGAATCGAAGATATACCTGTTCCCTTTCCTTCCGCTGGAATATTTTGTTCTCTTCGTACATCCTTATCCAGCTTGAAATGGTTGTCCGGTGTTTCGCATATATTTTCGCAAGCGTCTTTTTACTGAATGCTAGGAAATAATATCCATACAGACAGTGATACACTGTGTTGCAGGATGCATGTTGATGCATAACTTTTCTCTGGATGTCTGCCATGATTTTCTATTGAAATTCACTTACAGGTTACGACATCGAAATCCGAAGTATTACGTCCTTTATTTCTGAAATAACAAGAAATGAATGTGGTTAACAAAATGAATAAATCAGCACTCTTAATTATTTAAATGAATGTTTATAGCTCGGTTTATAGTCACCTGTAAAACAAAATTGCATATGTGAAATCATTTTCCTGTTTAAATTTATAAATACTAACAGCCACCATTAAAAAGACATAATCAAAATAATAACACTGCTTGACATTTCGCAGTTTTGCGCTATTCTGAGCTGCGCGTTACCACCGTCACTGGATGAGAATTTATTTTAAGCACGACAATATTAAAATTCAGAATTTTTATCTGTGCGGGACTGACATCCCTATCTCTACAAGCAACAACTGGTAGTAGTCAATATAGTCGCTATATTCATAGTCTAGCGGAGAGAAATTCCATCTAGCAAAAAAGAGAATCAATTCAAGATCTTGAAGACCAATAAATGAAAAGGGGCTCAAGTTTTATAATCAAAACTAAGATGGTTCATTCCTTGAAAACCGAACGCAAATTTTAAAGCATCGTGGAATAGGGAAAACGTTCCACAAGTAAATTATTATTTTGTTTTGCCTAGACAAGCTTTAAATCGCTAGAAAAGTGTTGCCGGAATTAAGGTCGCAAAACCTGATGTGCTCCTATCTGTTGTTGGTCGTGATATGCTCGATTGGTTCCGTTATTTGGCAGTTCAATTGGTTCCCAAAATTCTATCCGCCAGACTATGAATATAGCGACTACACAGAAAAAAAAATTGTTGAATATTACATCCAAACTGCTGCAACCACACTGTACACAAACATCATCCTCTGATCGAATGAAACCTCAGACAATTCAAAACAAAACACCGAAATCGCTTTTTCGAATGATGGCTGCAACCGGATGACGGTTGTTTTGGAATCAGATGATTTTCCTCTCGAATACAGGATGAAAATTGTTATGAGGAGGGATAGGGCCTTCAGTTGAAATGCGTAATGCTCTCTGTAGAATGACTGTCATACTAAATGGAAATGCATATGGTGTTGGTTCAGCCCCATAACGCAAATCATTCAAAACGATGATGTAAATAATTCTATCGAATGTCATTTGCTGATCTGAGCTGACAAACGAGGTGGAAGCATATGCATCGCTATCAGAGCTGTTACGAACATAGGTAAAGGATGAAAACCAATGTTTGGCTAGTTCGTGGTGGAGGAGGTTTTCTCCATCACGAAAAAATTTTGTATCCATAATGGAATGGCTTATTATGGCTTTTCAGTATGGAAATGTAGATAATCAAATTATAAATCTAATTAAAAGCAATTGCATGTCACACTATTCTTAAATGTTTGTCCTCTGAGTGCCATATGTTGTATAGCTAATGTTCAAACGAAAATCATCCTGTATTTGGATGACTGTCATATGGATGTTCATCATCTGACGACGAATTAAACCATAAAAAAATCATCCGAAATTCGAATGCATATTGTTAAAGGGCTCTAGCAATGCAATAATCATTCGAAGTATTGCGGATGTTTTGGTTCAGTGCAGGTCAATCCATCGGTTGTGTAATATAACGTTGTACCAACAATCAATACGAAACTAACGATTTTAAATTGGCTCACTACTTGACTAGCCTATTGGTCCCAAGCAAATCGACTAACGTACCCCATTCTAGTCGAAATTCTAGTACTACACAATGTTTGTTTTGATTCGCTATGATAGTTTGACAGATAAAATGAGGGGTTAGTGGATTTTCCTATGTTTCGAGGGGTGAATCAATTAGCTTGGGACCGAAGAGAGTACCAGAGCTGAGCCAAAAAGTTGAGCGCGTTTCTTCGGGACCTTCACACTTAATCTAGCTCGGTAAAATCTCCAACAGTCGATTACCTCGGCATTTACTTTTGCTGGTATATCTGCAAAATATCTGTTTGTTAGCTGATATCTCAGCAAAGTGTTATTTGTTAGCTGAGTCTCGGTAATTGTTTTACTGAATCTCAGCAAAATAAATTGCAGAACTACTCGGCTGTTGGAATCTCGGCGTAAAAATTTAAATGTGTTCTAGTCTTAGAGTTACCTCTATGGTTGTACGATGTACATCGATTTTGCGAACAAAATTACATCCATTACATTGTATCTGCTTTTTGCTATTACATCATTATTTCATACATCAGCTTGAATTACATTGATCGATATAGACTGTTCCTTATTTTAACGGTCACTTTGAATATAATGAAATATTTCAACATGTTTTGGCTGTGTCCTTTTGTTTGCTCATTTCTGAATGACATAGCATCAAAAAAGTGCTCAGTTTTGTGTTTCCTATCAAAATGCGTGGTCTTACTCCGGAACAACGAAAAAGTATCGTGCACAAATGGTGCACTGTGAGCGGACTCTCCTTGAGAAAATTGGCCAAGGAAGAGGGTGTAAGCGTCGGAGCGGTACGAACTGCGATTAAAAAATATAGAGAACAGTGTACGTTTGAAGATGCGCCGAAAAGTGGCCGGAAATCCGGTCCTGTAAGTCCGGATATCGATAAAAAGATCAGGGATGCCTACAAACGAAAACCAGCGATTCCGTTCGGGATGTTGCGAAAAAACCTCGTCGAGTAACGTCATGCGTGCCAAAAAAAGACTTGGGCTAAAAACATACCGGAAGCAGAAAAAAAAAACCCAAAAGGAACCCAAAACAGGCCGCGTCCGTGAAACCACGGGCCTGCAAACTCTACGATTCGTTATTGTGTCGAAATTCTGGGTGTATAATAATGAACGACCAGACGTACGTGAAACTAGATTGCAAAACGCTTCTCGGACCACAATTCTATACTGTAAGCGAAGGCAAGGACATCCCCGAAACGGAGAAGGCAATTTTTACCGAAAAATTCGGTAAGAAGGTTATGGTTTGGCAGGCAATATGCGAGTGTGGTGAAACATCTAGTCCGTACATCACAACGGAGACGATGAACACTCAGAAATACGCTAAGGAATGTCTCCAGAAGCGATTGTTGTTGATGATCAGGCAGCACGAAGGTCAAGTAATATTTTGGCCTGATTTGGCGTCATGTCATTACGCAAAGGACACTTTAGAATGGTACAAAAGTCAAAATGTATGTTTCGTACCGAAAGACATGAATCCGCCGAACTCCCCGAAGGCACGGCCAATCGAGACTTTTTGGGCTTTAACCAAAGCAAAGCTTCGAAAATTAATAAAACCAGCGGACGACATCCAAAAATTCAAAAAAGATTGGCCAAAAGTGGTCAGAAGCTGGGTCATGTTCGAGGAAAAGTTAGGAGTCTTGGCTATGATTAAATATGTTGATTAAACGAGAGTAAAATATCATTTGAAATACATATACAAGTATGATTTGCCAAATAAAATTATTAAAACTTAAAAAACATGACTTTTTTTGTTATTTTGAAAGTGTGCTTATACTATCTGGAACAGTCTATATTACTTTTTTTTTTGCTGTGTATAGTAGTCAATATAAGCGAGGGCTCAGACTGTGGGTCCAGCCTGACAACGCATGCATGCGGATGTGTTATTATGGAAACCAGCCATGTTATGTTAAATTTGAATACTTTGAAACTTACACTACGGATACGACATGCCAGGCCCTTGGATGTAATACAATGGCCGCAATGATCATTTTCCCTTCTTTTGATCACAAACTGTTCTTTCATATTTTTTAAAATAGATCATGATAAAAGGTCTAAAGGAGTAATATTTGAAAATGTTGGTTCTTTCAATACAATACGAAAGAACAGCTCATACACACTTAAACAGAGACCCTGAGTTCGGTAAAAAAAATTACCGTCTTAGATCGGTAATGCTAAAAATTACAGATGTTTCGGTATTTTCTCGCTTTATTGCTGAAAACTGTAAATGAAATGACCGAATTTCGGTAATTTCATTTTAATTTACCGAAAACGGTAAACATTTTTACCGGTAGATCTGTAAATCAGCCTCATCACTGACTTCGGTGAAATATTTTACTGAAGTTTCGGTAAACAAAGCGTTCCATTACTGAGTTCGGTAATGGTCTAGGTAAACGTCAAATCCACCATATTGTTATTTTCGATCGACTTTAAAAGCGTTCGTGCTTGTGAAAAATAAAAAGGTGAAGTTATGGAGTCTGTTATTCAACACCAAAATGAGTGAATCGTAGATATTTTCCGCAAATAATTAATTTTCGTTATCTAAATAAATACTGATTACAGATGGCCGATGTTGTTGCTTGCTTCTTTTCTGTCGGTCCAAGTTCCATTCCCGTTGGCGACGATCTGAAAACAGCATTTGGAATATTCTTTCAAAGCTTCCTTGTTTTCAGTGTAGCGCCGAATCATTCCGACAAAAACTTGGTTTTGTTCATTGGTGGTGCAATTTGCAACACTAACTAACTAACAACAGCTAGCTTTTTGCATGGGTTGCAGTGATCGCCACCTTGAAACAATATTAAAGAAAATTACAGTTGAGTCGGTTACCTTTTTAAAAAATTACAAATCTCTCGGTAATTTTCGATTTGCATGTCGTCCTCAAAATTACAGTTCTCCGGTAAAGTCGACTACAAATCAAGCAACGCACATCGGTAAACGTTACCGATCGTTCGGTAAATTTGACAGCTAATTTTGCTGATCGAGTTTACAGATTTTTCGGTAATGTTCTCGATTACCGAAAACATTACCGACCGTTCAGCTGTTGAGAATTCGGTAAATGAATTACCGAAGTCGGTGATTTTTTCTAAGTGTGTGTCAGTTATTGAGCCCAGGTGGTGAAGTTTGCGGGAAACTCCCAACAGGTGAGGTGTATGGGATTACCTAATTGGGCCACGAAGTGGCTACAGTCTTACTTAACTGACCACTCAGCCTATGTGAGCATTAACGGTGTTAATTCGCCTAGTTTCGAGATACCCTCTGGTGTTCCCCAAGGTAGCCATTTGGGGCCTTTAATTTTCATCCTGTTCGTGAACGATCTGTGTTC